CTGAACTAACTAAAATTACATAAGGCTCACCAAATTTTTATAAACATTTATATTCCAGGACTAACAGTTGCTGATAATTAGAAACACAAATTGTCATGCAGGTGTTCCTATTACCTAGTCTTTATATCTGTGGCCTTTTACATTATTGATGGGGACAGAAGGCAACCCCAGTTGTTACCTCTTCCTGTAAGGCAGCACTGAGACATCCACCGTACGTACTCAACATGTTCAAAGTGCCAGACTCATTTGTCAGTGCCCTGCATCTGGAAAACATCTTTCCCGGAAGAATGTTCTGCAGAATGAAGTAGTGTGGGAGGTGAGACTATATTTCTGTAGAATTTAAAAGGGGAACCAACGATTTTTATGAGGGCAAAAAAGGGCAAAAGCAATAGCCTCATGCAGTTGTGGTGATGTAATGCTATGAAAACCAGAGCAGAGCAACAGCAACTCTTTCACTCCCCAAGATAAAAAATATCTGCAGTGATAATTGTCTACATTCAAGATTCAAAGTTATATCTTACTCATTACATGCTTAATTTCTGAGAACATGGTCTAGAGGAGAGCTCACTATACTCTTGCTGCTGTGGAGCAACAATGAGGTTTTTACATTTAATGTCCTAAGCATATTTCATTAGGCATTCATATTTAAGACAATATTGAAATAACATCATAAAAGGGTGACCACTTTTTTTCAACAGAAGAAACGGCTGTTTTAACACAGTCTTAGAAGTTAGAAAAAATTAACATTCAAGAAATCAGCTCGTATGAATATGATTAACATTGTTTGACAAATTGCTAACAGAATCCATCTTGTTGAAGAGGATATAATATGAATATATTCACCAAAGTAGATTTGCTACAAGAGAAAGCGTGGTGAGGAAGATCAGTCTGAATATTTGCCAGCAAGCTTCAGCACACAGATAACAAACCTTCAGATTTGTTCTCAGCATTAAAAACAGCAAGAAATAAGATTTGTTTTCTTAGGAAATGTAGTCTGTATGTCCAGATCTGCTTTAAGGCTTTCACGGGTAAGTGAAGTGCCATATAGGAGCATGTAAATATTGAAGCAGTCTTTTCTTTGTTGAGTAAAATATTGTTTGTACAGTAACAGTGTAGTTTTAGTTACGATTTAGTTTTAGATTAAAAACTAAGTTCAAAGTCCAAAAGCTGAAAAACATTTTCTCAAATTTAGAGGTCAGTACTCTGAGGCAACTTGATGCTCTGTTTTTATCTAAAGATGGGAGTAGAAATGATCTTTTGTCCTGTGTGTTGAGCACAAACAATATACTCTCCTTGAACAATTCATCCTCTTTTTCTCTTGCTTTTTATTTCTTTACACAAGATCTTTATAAAGGAAGGGCTTATTGTCACAAAAATCTATAGAAACTCCATGAAAGGAAGGCGTTTACTCAGCTGAAATCTTTAGCCATTCCTATGTGAGTGAGGAGCCAAGGGTTTCTATTCCATGTGCTAGAACAGTTTATACTTTATATAGTCTATGCATTTATATATAAAATGCATAGAGTATTTTGAGCACTAGAACCAGAACTTCTTTCCCAGAAAAGCAATTTATGTATTAAATAAGAGTTATGCTACTGCTTGTTCAGTCTTCCTGGAGCTTGACTATTTTGTTGCACAGCTTCGACAGGAAATGGGGAAAGCATCCATCCTTCCCTACCAATCTAATAGCTAATAGCTTGTGATTATACCTTTTTATGGAAGTAGAAAGATCTGGGTTTCAATCCATTTAGAAAAGGAAATTGAACTCATGTCTGCTATTTCTCAGGTGACTGATTTAGCCACTAGAATATTTCATAAACCTTAAGCAGCACTATGTTTTCTCTGACCAGGTTATGAAAGAAAATTGCATTTGCACCTGATCTTGTAAGTATGCTAGATGTGCTCAGCATAAACGTAGCTGTTAAATCCTAGTATGGGGTAGAAGAAAAACCTCTTTTTAGGTTATGCTCAAGTTTATGCATGATCGATAAACTGAATTTTTCAAATTAAGGGTATGGGCATGACCAGGAGAAAAACTCCTGACACCTTGAGGAGTCCATTTACATCAAGTAGGATCATGGTGAGATTCAGTTGCCTAGAAATGACAGGCATCTAGTGCCATTTTAGACTCATTGATATCCCACCCATTATCCTGGCATTCAGAAGGTGCTGTATCCTATTTGTCTACACTATCCTGATGTCTCAGATATCTTACAATGTTCAAAAATCCCAGTATCTTTCAAAGGAACTACGTAATACTAGCGCATTTGTGTTTCAGTAACAAAACTGCTCCCCAGGTCCCGCTGCTTGGTGTTTTCAGCCCTTCCAGATGTCAGGTTCACTTCTGTGCTTGTCTCTACACTCTCAGCAAAAACGTGCCTATATAGCTTTGCTGGAGGTACTCCTAGAAATATCTCTTTTTTACAAGTTTGATCTTGAAAGGTGTTTAATATTCTCAACTTTCATGTAAGACAATGAGAGTTGCAGGTGTACTTGGCAGGACTGAGCCTTACAAGAGCAGTTACCAGTTTCTGTGGTCAGGCAGAGGACTGTTCATGGTGCCTTGTGTTCTCATTGAGAACATGTGGGTGATATCTCTGATCTATGTAAAGAAATATTGTCTCATTTATGAAAAATTTGCCTTCAGGACAACATGGAAATAAATCAGGGGAAGCTACCACAGTATCCTTTTGTGGCTTGTATATAACTAGAATTTAAAATGCAATTCTTCTAACTCCAAGACTGACTCAAAAAAAAATATATTGGATGGTTTATATTCTTGCAAATAAAAAGTGGCTTTATTTAGGAATAGAAGAATATTTCTAGTTCTGCTTTCATTCTGTTTCTAATCTGATCACAAACAGGCAATGTTCTTCTGAAACAACACTCTGCTGGATTTGCTTGGCAAGAGAAAACTACTTTGAAAGCACCATTTCTACATTGCTATGCAGCTTTCTGCTGAGTGTATCACTGTCAAAAAATGTATATATGTCTACTGGTCAGTATGCAAAGCTTAGACAAAAAAGACTCTCGTTTTCCTCTCGTGATGCTTCTCTCTGTGACTTAGATTTTCCATTTGTTAAATGAGGGCAATCACACCCAGGTACAAAGTGTTCTGACCTCTAATGTTAAAAAATTTTATGGAAAGCCTAGACATTAAAATTACTATACAATAGTTTCTTTTTGAAGATAGTTCAGGAAATAAGACAGTTGTGAGGCTGAATTTCTAGTATGACTGCTTTGATAGAAATTTTATCATCTAAGGAAACAGCTTTCAGAAAGCAGTTGCTTCACCTGAATCAAACCTAGTCAACAAACGGAATAAAACATATTTCTCCTATTATTATATTACCTTACCATCATGCACACAATATAAATAATAATTTAAAAGAAAAAGAAATTGTGGGAATTTGTTGAATTAAATTGGTATCCTCATTGAAAGTTAATTTTTTTTGCCTTGGCTCAAAATATTTGTTCTCTTCTATGTACTTTAAGATATAAGTAAGGTATTTCATGAGGAAAACTTTTCTGGGTAAGTTAAATTCAAATTCAAATATAGAATTTCAATGTTATTGGTTTGGAATGCCCTTTTCTCAGGGAATACAGGATAATTTTTTTAATAGCGATTATTAATTTTGATGGTTTAATATTTGATGGTTTAATTATGAGACCGCATTCTCAGGTTAAAGATATACATCATTTTATGAAAATCACAGCATATATGGATGGCATATTTGGTATCCCAACTGGATGCCATAGTGATAGACTTTTGCAAGGACTTTGTCTAACATGTAGGATCAGTCCCCTTGCAGAAAACCAACTGTAGCCTTTACGTGGCTTACAGGCTGCAGCATGGATGAATGAACACAACTGCTGGTGTGGTACATGAGCTTCCACCGCAATGGCATGAGAGCCCATTTGTTAGTTCTGAGACACTCCCATGCCTCCCAGCATCAGTTGTTGGACCACGTTCTAATAATCAGAACAATTGTGTTTAGGGACATCTGTGAGTATACACTAAAAGGAATTTAGTTGCTTTTACCAAGAGTGATTTTTATTCCTTTAAAATTAAACAATTTGCCACAATATAGACGTAGCTTCTTTACCCCAGTCCCAGCTCCGCTGTTCCAGGGGCAGTCCTAAGGTAGTCTTTGTAATGACTTCTTTTAAGGCTTCCTGATAACAAAATGGTTTTCAGCCTCTCTGGCCTGCTACAAGCTGGGCTGTGTTCTGCACCATCTGCTCAAGAGTGCAGAAAGACCCCTGTGCTTGCCTCTTTCTTCCTTCCTGAGGCCCGATTCCAAGTTTCTGCAACATTACCCAGGATGAATTTCCTTTTCTCTGACGAAGTGACTTTTGCCTGGATCATATGCAGCTAAGCCCCAGCTCCCCTTATCTGATCAGCATATTTCTTGATAAAGTCAGCAATCACTTGGAAAAATAGGAATATTAATTTTACTGAATTCATACTGTTTTCACTGAATTTAGAGGCAGTATTTTCAGTGAAGTGAGTGCAGACAGTGCTGGGCTTAAAACAAGCAACCCTTTTCCCCCTCAAAAGGCAAAACCAGAAAAACATTGTGCATACACCAAAAACTGCAGTTTGACATGCCTGAGGGAAATACAAGGAGAAAATTTCCAGTATTTTTTTCATTTTCCTCAGTTCGTTCATTTTTTCCTGTTTGCAGTTAATATCCTAAGCAGTGTTTTTTCCTTTTCAGAAAATGTTAGGAAGAAAACTTATTTTCCCCTATCCTTATCTCATAATAAATTGAGCACAAAGATTTTGATGTAAAGATTCACATACAAATCTCCTGGAGAGCTGGCTCATTTTGAAAATTGTTCCCAGGTGTTTTGTGTCTTTTTCTTACTCAAAGATTGTATGATTAGCATTTTAATGTCCCACAACTTCTTGTCTAGTTCCCTAGGAGGATATGAAAATGAAGCCATGAAAGCTAAGCTGTTTGGTATTTATCACGCACACTCTGATTGTATTTCAGAGCTCTGGGATTTAAACAGGACTTCAGTCTTTCATAGCCCATTTGGATATCTTGGTCTTCATATAATGCTGCTGGATGAGTATCAAGAACGACTGTTCGTGGGAGGAAGAGACCTCTTGTATTCCCTCAGTTTGGATCGAATCAGCGACAACTACCGAGAGGTGGAGTAAAAAGCTGTATATATTAGTCACTTCATGTTGTAATGTGTAGCACACAATATAATTTGCATGAGTAGAAATGAGATAATGGAGTTTTTGTAGATGTTTTGTGCACAAACCATAAGGTCATGTTTATATTTAAGAAAAATATACTAATTACCATTTTTTTCCCCAGTAAAAACCCATAAGCATCACTCTAGGTGAAAAAATCTGGGGGTCATTTAGCTATTTCTCACTGTTTTTCAGCATATTTACAGACACTTAGAGCATCTCACATTTTGTGTGTACTTGATCTCTGTATCTCTGCTATATTGTCAAGGTATAATGTCTCCTTGGTATTGGTGGGAGCCTTTTTGACAGGTAATGAAAAATATGTTAAAAAAAATAAATAAATTAACACATAAACTATGAGAAATTCAATAGCAACATAAACCATGCACCTAATTTTTAGCCTTCTTTAGAAACTGGATTTTGCATTGGCTTTGACCCAGAGGTTCTATTAAGTAGTTTCTGAAAACGGCATTTGACTACTCAGTGTTCTGTGGGGGAGAAGTGGTTTAAGTCATAATCCTACCAGAGAGATTGGTACATAGTAGAAACCACAGCTGACCGGCAAACTGGCAATTGCAGTGGAGAGGCTGGAGTTTGAGGTGATATGAGTCTTGGCTTCCTTACTCACTTCTGCCCTTGGCACCTGGGATTGGAAGCATGTGGTGGCAATGGCAGCTAGAGGAGTATTGTTCCTGCCTCAATCATCTTGACTGTGGACGAACAATGTCTTGAAATATTTTAGTGTTTTCCCTGAGTACTTTTTGAAATTTCCCCTTGGTATTTGGATACATTTACATTAATTCTCAAATTAGTAAATGAATGAAAAAGTGAGTAAATAAAGCCCCTCTGGAGAACTATGATTGTGTTGATTTCCATACTGCATGTTTCAAATGCTTTTATCTCAGCCCCCCTGTTGTAAGTGAATATCACTTTTCTCATGCCAACACTCTGGTCAACTTTACCATAAGCAACCTTGCTTATCTCCAAGTGTAATTAGTATGTTCCTCTACTGTGAACAGATATAACAAGCTTTATCCTCTTTATAAACAGTTTGGGAAAGGCAATTCCAGATATGAGGAAATGGATATACTCAGAGAGGCCATTTGAGAATTTATCTACATTTAAAAATATAAAATATATTTTTTTAACTCCTCAGAGAGCAATGTTACATACTGAGTTTTGCTCCTCCACAGTGAGATATGAGTTAACTCCTTTTCCATTTGATAAAAATTATTAATATCCTGTAACAAAATATTAGAACTCAGGGATATGAAAACATTTAGGAAGCACTTGTTTCTATAAAATAAGCCTTTTTCCTCCCCTCTTCTTATCCCTTTGGTAGTAAATCTGTATGAGGAGAGACGAGAGGATAGAACACTTTATGCTTCTGTCCAACCACCATTGTCCCATCTGGACACTCTTGAAGTTCGTTGCTTTCCTTCTTGTTGTTTTTAGATGGAAGATCAGCCGATTACTCGAAACCATACTCTCTGTCTTGAGAGCTGTTTGCAGAGTATGAAAAATTAATGGAAGCTCTTCTTGCCTGCTTGCCTGCTTTTATGAAGTGCAAAAGATGAGAAACTGGAATAAATGGAGCTTGACCTAGCATGTTTAGAAACATGACCTCACTGGGACTTAGCTCCCTTGAATACAAATGTCATGATCCTTTTCTCTTTTCCCAGTGTTCTCTTGGTGCAGATTTCATTCTGTGATAGCTGGGGAAAACTTGATTGTCCCACAGCACTATCCGCAAAAGTGTGGAATGAGAGGTTTCTGTTGTACAAGAGCTTAATTACTGCCATAAACTGGGGGAAGATCCTGGAATTGAGAGACTGGTTGATTCATTATTACCAATGTTTCTCATTAATCTGCCTTTAACTGTGTGTTGGTTAGCCCTTGACCGATTCTTTCAGACTGAAGATTTTAGTTTAAACAGTAGTGATAGTTTAGTCTAAACGAGCATAGTTTAGTCTAAAACTCCAGTTATAACCTAGTGAAAGTATAAGAATGGAGGCAAGGATGAGTCACCAACTGCCAAAGAGATGTTTTGTAAAGTTGGTAGCTTTGGGGCCAATTTGCATAGATCTTGTTCATCTTCTGTGTTCTAGAGAACAGATCATGTATTTTAATTCATTGCCATCTCATTTTCCACCATTTGGAATACAAATATGCTCTCTAAAAACCAAACTAAAACCCATTCCCAATTAGATGTGTATCTCTTTGCTGGAAAATGTTCTAGTAATTCAGTTCTAGCAAGCGTATTAGAAGGTCCCAAAGTAAAACAACGAAATGCCTAGTGATCATAAAATGCCCTTGCACTGAGACCTGTGGACTGCCAAAGTAATCCAGCATTTCCAAAAAACTCAACTTGTGATGCTTATGAGGTATGCACCCTATAAATCTGCATTTACTGGACTGTATTTTTCCTTAAAGTTCAATTATCTTCAGCTTTTAAATACAAAGCAGCACTCTGAAGGGTGCTGGATTATAGCTTTTTCACATAAATTATTAGCTGTTTTTGTATACATCTACCGACAGTATGTTAAGCATATATTTTTCTGACCACTTTTTATATCTAGTAAAGAAAAGATATACACAAAATGGAAAAATTATTGAGGGAAGAACACTGCCACAGTCATTCTTGCATTGGTTGGGGAATCCAAAGATCTGGGTTGAGCTCTCAAATGTGGCACAGGCTTTCCATGTGATCTTGGACAGAGTCTCACTTATTAATTGGACAAATTATATTTCCTTTGCCTACTTGGCTTTTTTTGTACCCTTTGTATCTCTCTTTTCATATAACACATACAGAAAATTTCTTGCTTAGATTATTTAACATATCTTGGAATCATAGAATCATAGAAACATAGAATGGTTTAGATTGGAAGGGACCTTAAAGATCATTGAGTTCCAACCCCCCTGCCATGGGCAGGGACACCTCCCACTACACCAGGTTGCTCAAAGCCCCATCCAGCCTGGCCTTGGACACCTCCAGGGATGGGGCATCCACAGCGTCTCTGGGCAGCCTGTTCCAGTGTCTCACCACCCTCACAGTAAATAATTTCTTCCTAGTATCTAAGCCTAAATTTCTCCTCTTCCAGTTTAAAACTATTAGCCCTGGTCCTATCGCTCCACTCCCTGATAAAAAGTCCCTCCCCATCTATCCTGTAGGCCCCCTTCAGGTACTGGAAGCCTTTATAAGGTCTCCCTAGAGCCTTCTCTTCTCCAGGCTGGACAACCCCAGCTCTCTCAGCCTGTCCCCATTAGGAGAGGTGCTCCAGTCCTCTGATCATCTTCATGATTGTATTTGTGCCTGGGATTGCCCGGACCCAGGTTCAGGACCTTGCACTTGGCCTTGTTGAACTTCATGAGGTTCATATGAGCCTACCACATATCTTACAGTAAGTTTTTGAAACAAAGTTACTCACATGCTTTGCTTTCTGTATTAAGAATACACTAACACTAAGACTAGCAAGAAGGAGGGAGATTATGAAATGTGGTTACATACAAGTACTTGAAACCTTGTGTAAAGCCAAACCTTTGGAGGTACCCTCCACGTGACCTTTGCTTTCCCTAATATCTCATTCCCTTTGACACCACCTTTGGAATCAAACTTTACACATATTTGGGATTTGATCCAAATTCTTTAATGCTAGTAATGATCTAACACACTGATAGAGAACTTTCTTTGATATCTGGTGCCAAATTTATTTTAAAAAGTATTTCAATTCCTTGTAATTGGTACCAGAGCATATCTTTGTTGACAGCAAACTTGAACGTATGCCAGTAGTTCACCATCACTGATCTAACAGCTCGTAGAGAGGAATGACCTTTGGTTCTACTTTTCGTCTCTTGAGGGAGTGAAAAACTGCACTTCCTACTTGTCCACAAACTCCTTATAGATACTCTTTCTTCCTAGTTTCTGCTTCAAAGGGCTCATGAAGGCCTTGGTCTGAAGAGGTGCCTCCCTATTTCAGTAAATAGACTTGCGCAAGCAGATTTCAATATGCAGTTTCTGATCCAGTACAAGACAACTCCAGATTAGGACTTATGTCTCTGTTGTAATAAACTATAGACCCCTCATAGTGTATCCTGCCTCTAGTAAAGCTAGCTGTATTTCCACTCCAGAGCTCGCTGAACACAGGTCTGCAAGAGCAGGGATTGCTTGTATCTCCTTTGAAAACCACGTATATAATATCCATATATACACACATATAATATCCAGCCATAACCAGATATTTTTGCAGAATTTGTGCTCCAGCCAAACACATTATGTGTTAATTAAGCACGATTTATTGACGTAAACCAGTGATGGGATAGTTGAATTGCTTAATTGCTCTGTCATACACTAAAGTTCAGAGTAGCTCACACAGTAGTCTGTTTTGGCATGAAGTTCTATAAAGCTCATATAATTTCTTAAACTAAGTTTGTGTTAGACATGCCATCCTGTTTTTTGAGGCTAGTGATTGAATAGGGAAGCTCTTTGGAGACACTAATTAGCATTCTAGCTCCAATTAAAGTTTTCCCCCTACCTGAATTTGCTCAGAAACTGTTGTTTGTACTGTCTTATAATTCCATTTTTTTCCCATGAGGAATACATTTAAAAGTAGCTTTTTCCTGTCTTTTAAACACAGTGGTAAGATTACATCATCCAGGTCTCAAGAATGATAACATTATGGTGAAAGATGAAAAAACATCACTAAACAAGCAATTTAAAAATTTACTCTACAGCAACCTGCAAGGGTGAAAAGTTTTGAAAAATTACGTCCAAGCCAATAATTATGTCAAACACACAGCCCAGTGACATGTATGTTAGTGTGATGTTATTCCAGTCTACATACACAGGAAAATTTCCCAAAAATAGTTATTGATAGCTTGCCAAAATATTGTAATCCTGGCAAAGAATCAGTTCAAAGGTAAAGCCGGTAGTTGTCATAACTTAAAGCATAAACATCAGGAAAAATAATATGTGGCAGGTTAAAGGCTACTATTACAGTTGATAAATATCTGGAATTCCATGCAGTGCAAATGCATCCTATGTTATGCTGGTTAAGTAAAACAGCAATAATTACACAAATACAATTAAGTACAGTAAGTACACCTTGGTAAAGTATTGCTACTTTGAGCTGCTTACTATAGATTTCTTTGCAAATGATCATAAAAGATTGAGCAGCTCTTCTCAGTTGTTTCAACTGAGCTAAGAAATCTTCATGAAGATTTCAAGATTAAAAACTCTAAAATACTTTTTTTTTGTTTTCAGAACATTTTTTTACTATACACCTTTTAAACTACTGTGCTTAGACTCAAGATTAATGCAAAATCAAATTTTCAAACGTGTTATGATAGCAAAATCTGATATGCAGAGACTTTTTTTAGTCTCCAGTCTAAAATAATTTTGGAGAGATTAAAAACCTAATGCTCATTTATGTTGACTCGTAAGCCTAGTAGGAGTTATGAATCTTAAAAATTATTTTCTAAATAAAAAAGATTCTTCAGGAGACTCATATGTACTACTGAAGTCATAATTCAGACACGTCTACTTCAGGCAACTAACATGGCTGTGCCTTAGAGGTACGTAATATGCTACAAGCATCTCAGATAGATTCCTACACCTCTGCACAAGCTGTGGAAAATATACAGAGATCTTTGCCTTGCTTACTCCTCCTTTTAGGCATCTTTTGCTAAGATAAACCATTACAACTATCCCAACAGGAAATAAACGTATGGCTGAACCAAAACAGAACCAGGGCTTTGTTTGGAGAAAGGTTTGTGCAGAGGTCACTTTGGAAAGCAGATACCTGGCAGCAGCAGTAGACACAGGGACAGAGGGTAGCTCCTGTTACATATTAACCTTTTGATTAGCCTAACTTGCCCAGGAAGCAAAGCCCTCCACCTCCTCTGCAAGAGGGTTTGTGCACACCTCCCCTGCTTCTCCTCAGATCACAGAACAAATCCTCCCCCAGAAGATATGTTGAAACATATGGAAGACAGTGAGATGATTAAAGACAGCTAACGTGGCTTCACCAAGGAAAAATAGTACCTGACTAACCTAGTGGCCTTCTAGAATGGAGTGACTGCATCAGTGGACGAGGGAAAAACTACAGATGTCATCTACCTACATTTCTGTAAGGCCTATGATTCCTACTTCTAAACTGGAGAGATATGGATTTGATGGATAGACTATTAGATGGATAAGGAATTGGTCACATCCAAAGAGTTGCAATCAATGGCTGAATATCCAAGTGGAAATCAGTAATGAGTTGTGTCCCTCAAGGGTCTGTGTTGGGACCATTACTATTTAATATCTTCAACAGCATAGACAGTGAGATTGAGTACACCCTTGGCAAGTTTGTGGATGACACCAAGCTGAGTAATGAAGTTGATACACACGAGGGAACGGATGCCATCCAGAGGGACCTTGACAAGTTTGAGTAGTGGGCCCATGTGAAACTCATGAAGTTCAAGATAGCCAAGTGCAAGGTCCTGCACATGGGTGGGTGCAATCCTCAGTTCAGACTGGGGGATGAATGGATTGAGAGCAACCCTGCAGAGAAGGACTTTGGGGTATGCGCAGATGAAAAGTTGGTCATGAGCTGGCAATGTATACTTGCAGCCCAGAAAGCCAACCATATCCTGGGCTGCATTGAAAGAAGTATGGCCAGCAAGTCGAGGGAGCTGATTCTGCCCCCTCTATTCCACTCTGGTGAAACCCCCACCTGGAGTACAATGTCCAGCTCTGGAGTCCTCAGCACAGGAAGGACACGGACCTGTTAAAGTGGGTCCAGAGAAGGACCATGAAAATGATCAGAAGTCCTGAATAATTCTCCTACAAAGAAAGGCTGAGAGATATGGTTGTTCAGCCTGGAGAAGAGAAGGCTCTAGGGAGACCTTATTGAGGCCTTTCAATATATAAAGGGGACTTATAAGAGAAGTTGTGGCTGCCATGTCATTGGAAGTGTTCATAGGTTGGATAGGTCTTTGATCAACCTTGTCTAGTGAAAGACTTCCCTGCCCGTGGCAGGGGGTTTGAACTAGATGATCTTTGACAGTCCTTTCCAACTCAAACCATTCTAGGATTCTATGGTTTATTCTATGATTCTTTACAAAGGACTAAATTCTTGTTGCTTACACTGCAGCTGGTTTTTAGTATGCCAGACAAAGTGGGGGCATTGGATTACCTCTTTGATTTTTTTCTCTTAATTCTGTGTATGCATTTAATTCAGTATGTCTCAAGTGTAATATGTGCATATAAAATGTTTTCAATAGTGCTGGGACTAAGTACCCAAATACAGAAATAATCACCTACACACAGTGCATTTAATGTTAGGTTCCAGAGTTAAGTGCTCTATTCCCTCGGTGGTTTCTGTGTTCCTAACAGCCACCTACAGCTGATGTGGGCAAAAGGCACTATTTTATTCTGCTAGCTAGAACATTTTTTGGGAAGCAGAAGCTGGGAAACGCTAGACTTCGTATCTCCTAACTTCTAGGCTTTAATTGCCTATTCAATCCTTGACCAGTGAGTTAAGTGAATGACTGTGGACCCTGAGTTTTGCACTTTATGAACGAGGAATGGTCTGACCAGGGCAACCAGATGAGAGCCCTCATGGGAGTTCAGCAAAGTTCAGGTACCTCCCCAGACTACATGGCAGCAATACAGAGCCCGGATAAGAGTTACTTCTGATCCTACACAGAAGACTATTAGACCATCTGACTGAAAACAAATGTTCTAATTAATTTTAGGTTCCTTGCAGGATTTAGATGGTGTCTGAACATAGATGGCCTGATTTGAGCAATGAGACCTAAACACTGACAGGCTGCTGAAGTTGATAAGAATATAGCTGACCTCCTGATTTTAAGCACTAGATCTCCAGGGTTTATAATTTATCCCCACTTTTCTTCTAATTTAATTTTCTTGCAATTTATCACCAGATTTTCTTGGGCTAGTATTATTTCAAGAAAACTAAGTTAATTCCATTACAAAAAGGGAGAAAAGAAGCCTAGGAGAAGAAGGACATAATTTTAAAATGTTTTCCAGATAGAATAAGAATTTTTGATTGGACTATTGACAAGAATGTCTTAATGATGACATCTATTTTTTGATACTTACTTGGTTCAGTCAAGCCTGATAGCACTGAAGTGAACATGTTTTTGTTTTCACTTTTAAAGTTTTAAGAAATGAAGTAATCATTCCACTCTGCTCAGTCATTTTTTAACATTATTTTCATCCAAACAAAACACGCATCTGGAATGAAACATAAATTTTATACAGTAGGTAACTGAAAAGAATCTTGCTTGTGTAATTTGGCTTCATTTCTAGTAACTGACTGTGAAGAGCTTATCCTACTCCCATGAAGTTAATTGCTGACCCTCATTAACTTCACAGTAAAACAGTTTCTTTCCTAAGTGTCACTTAGAGCCAGAAATCAGTAGTTCAAAATTATAATTCTTTGTTGAAAGTCACTGAAAATTTAGCTGAGACATTTCTACCGAATTTACATAAAATGTTGAATACATTAACGTCCTTTAAATTCTATTGACTGAAGGAGTTAGATCTGTGCTCCCTGAAGAAGAGAAGGCTCAGGGGGAGCTCGTGACAGTATTCCAGTACTTAAAGGACAGCCACAAAGAGGACAGAGGTTTTCTCTATTCACAAGGAGCCATGTGGAGAAGATAAAATGCAATGTTTTCACTTTTAAAAGTTCTAAGAAGATACCAGGAGATACTAAAGTATTTTTTTTCAGTCACTGAAACAACCTCCCCAGGGATGTGGCAGAGTCTTCATCACTGGAGGTTTTGAAGATGTGATACAACAGAGTGCTAGATAATTTCATCTAGGCTTAATTTCCCATGAAATGTATCACGTGATCTTTTGAGGTCCATTCCAACCTGGGCTGTTCCATGATTCTATAATTCTGTTCTGTGAGTCTTTCACATGAAAAATAATGGAGAAGCTGAATTGACATGATCAGACTGCCCATTAAATGATTTTTTATGTTGTTTTTTTGTTGTTTTTTTTCCCCCTCAGATCCATTGGCCTAGTACACCTCTGCAGGCAGAAGAATGCATAATTAAGGGAAGAGATGCTGTAAGTATCATTAATTACAAATCAAATATACTTTAATTATACTAGTGTCTGATCTAAAACAAAGATTCAGGCATCCCTTCAGAGAGATCACACTGTATATCTCTAAGTGTTGCAGCTTAAAAATGTGTAACTACTGTGAACACACAGAATTATTAGTTTAATTGCTTTTCAAACCAGCTCATAAACAGGCAATGAACACTTTTGATCATCTGAACTTTCTCCTAATTCTTTTTTGTGTTGATATCAAAGAAAGTGCCTTAATAATGCTCCTTTCCCATTTCTGTTCCCTTTCTTTTCATACGCATAGGATATCTTCTCTATTCAAACTTTTTCACATTCTAATTTGTCTTTAAAATTCACTTTCTCTAGAATAATTTTAAAAAAAACAGTTAAATTATTAGTAATTATAAAATATACACTAAATTGTTTTGCCCTATAGGGTTTTTTGTATATTAGTAAAAATATTCTGTTTTAATGAGCCCCAAAGCTGTTCTATTCTTGTGATCCAGTGCTTTGACTGTAATCAGTTCCCGGGGAAAGACCTGAAAGCTCACTGACATACAGCAGCTGATATCATTGGCACCGTAGGATGAAAGTTCTTCTGGATGGGAGCTCTCTTTAATTTTGCAGTGCACCAAGCTCATTATCTGCACCTCATAAACACACAGCAAGAACAACACCTAATAAATCCCACAGCTGAGAGAGCTCACACTGTAGCAAAAGATTTGAAAATGATGATAGTTTTACAGCAACAGTGACAGGAACGTAGGACACAGAAGGACACATGTACAGTTTTCCCACACAAACACAGCAAACAGGCAGCCTTGAAGATAACCACAACATATTCCCAGTGAAGATTAGGAAGCTATAAAGATTCCTGTTAAAGTAAAAGCATGAGAACTTTCCACATCAAGGGAATCGGTGAACGAAATTAGAAAATAATAATAATAATAATAATAATAATAAAACCCATGATACTTTACTCTCACACACACCTGGCCTAGAACTGATCCTTTTGAGGTATCTTAAAAATTCATTACATTTTTCTAGATGCATTTGTACCTTTGAGAATTTCAGGTGGCTTTGGTTGAAAATTATGTTTTGCTATGTTATCCAAAATTTGTGGTCATATTAAGTAAATCCAAACCATAAATTCTTCGAGTTTTATTTAATACTACCTCTCAGCATAGGCTGTTATTACACTTAAAGCTCTGTCATCTTTCCTTCACTGCTACATGATGGGATTTATTTTCTGGTACTTTGACAATATTCTTTGGGTTAAACAAGTATGGAAACAGATACTGTTATTCCAACATAATTTAAAGGTATTCCCTTCAGACTCACAAGATTCCTAATATTCAAAATCTTTTACAATCCAGTTTGTCATTATGAGTCTTCGAATTTGCATTGTAATGAATGTGATCATTTAAAGAACCTCGTATGTTTCTTACATCTCTCTGCACTGTGAAAGTTAGGTGTCTATAGTTTTTAAAAGATAACCACAGAACTTTTAAATAATCATAAGATTCCAGAACTGGACTCTTTAAGAAAAATATGTTAAAATAGTAAAAGCTGGAAATATTGTAATACCAAATAATACCAAAAAATATTCTGATCCTCACATGAGACCTAATTATGTGTAGGACTATGTGAATAAGACTAATTAATTCCAGGGAAACCCTTAGAAACTTTCATTAACATGCTCAGGATTCAGTAAGCTAAATTGCTCAACCTGAAAGGAATCTAAATTAGAATCAAAAACTTTCCTATTATTTTTCTTTTCACCTTCATCTTTTGTAGCCATAAACTAATATTGACCTAATGGCATTATGTCTTAAAATCAACCCTTTGCTATTTCTGAATGCTATTATTTCACACCATAAAGTCTCAGAAAAAATTTACTTATAGATGTTCTTTGAAACCTTTTTCCTTATTTCCATGTTATTTCTTTTTTTATTTTCCTTTGCAAAAGATCTTTTACTCAGTGCATATTTAATATTTATTAGAATTGAATATATTATAATAAATATCCCAGTGTTGAAGTACTTCAAGTGTTTTCTGCTACCTCTTTCTATATAACGGAACAGGCCACTTTTATAAGCTCTTACAATCTTTAAAAGTTATCAGTTCATCTTGTAACAGTAAAACTGCAAGTACTGTAGTCATAAACACAGTTTCAGCGAGCTTGTAAGAGACTTGATAGGACAGTTAGAAAAGCCTTGTCTTAACAACATGTTCATCATCCTAAACTCAGGCCACACTTTTGTGATCCAGACCAAGCCAAGGAAAAAAACCTTTCTGCTCTCATCCAGTGTGCCAGGAAACACACCTGTGGGCCTGTGGTTTGAGAGCTTTTGATCCTTTCAATTATTCTATCAGAATTGGAAATCATTCAGATATAGAAATCAAATTCTGTAGTGATGACTAACTCCTTTACACTGAGAAGTTTCAGATGAATAAAATTCCACTGATCCATTAATATGTCTACGGAGCCTCCTAAAGACAACCACAACATTTAATTAATTAATATAGTAGAAAGAAAAAGTATTTTAATGTTCCCTTGGCTGATACATCTCTTCCTTGTTATGTGTACAGGTTGTTATTATTAGTTGGGCCAGCAGCAATGCCTAGTTGCCAGACACTTCCCAGAATAGGACCTTTTTCATTTGTTTATAAATTATAAATCTAGCCATTTGGAATGACTTTTTTTCTATATTTGGTATCTGCCTCATCCTGGTTTTTTTTTTCTGAAGAAATTTTCAGGCATTTCTGTGAAGGCACACAGGAGAAAAAATGTGTAATTTTTGCCCATTTTTAAAAAATACCCAGGATCTATCTTCCTCCACAGTGCTTTTGAGAGGAAGATCAAGACCTGCAGGCATATGCGGATAAAATAAGAAACCATGAAGTAAAGAACAGACCACCACTGGGAGAGAACAGAGGGGATAAGTCAGGAAGGTCATACTTGGAGGGGAGGAAGAATGAGGAACAGCAGCAGTGCACAGCAAAGCATCTATTTAAAAACTGTAAAGCATCATAAAATTCCTATGTATTACCATTCTACCACCACCACTTAACAAATATTTATGAGACACACATACAAAGTGGACACATCTGAGCGTACTGATCCATGTATAGAGGATCACACCCTACTAACCTCAAGTCATTCTTTTCTCAATTTGTCTGACAACTCAAGTAGCAGGTTGATCTTTTTCAGTGGGTCTGAAAAATTTTGTCCAAGTGAGAGACCATGAGGATGGAGAAATTTTCCTTATTTATTTGTTGGAGCACTTTTAAGACTTGCACTGAATGACACAAGAGTCTGAAGAAAGAAGAAAGATAGTTTCTTAGTTTTGAACTCAACGCGTATTTTCAGGAGCTGAATTCTGCCCATAGCCCTGCTGCAGACTCATCTTCTGTGACATTAAGTTCTTGCAGATGGTTAACAATACCCAGGATTTTTCTCATATAAATACAGCAGTCTGAAAATGAGAGTAGTCATCAGTATAGGATGGCAAATTTTCAAAAAGGAAATTCCTCCACTCTATTTTGCACATTCATTTTAGGATAGAATTAATTGCCTTTTGGAGATGTCTGGACTTCTTCATTGACTACTGAAAAATCCTAAGAGAATAGCATAAATTACATATCTAAACTTTAGCACAGCTACAGTTAGCTAAGACTAGTCCCAGTATAATTGTCATCTTAAACTTGGTGTGACTATCTTAAAACCCAGGGTCTGAGTTACAGAAATATTGAGCAACAAATGGAAATGAACAGGAATTTTGCTCCACACATAGAAATCTGTAAAACCAAGTCCCAGGTGTCCCAAAATCAATGGATACTTTTATCTCACTGTCTCCATTTCAAGTTTAGGAAGGGAAGGATAAAGACCGCACATCTCAAAGGGGTGTTTGAAAATTTTTTAATTGTAATATTTATGAAGCTGCAAATACACTAATGAGTCCCAGAGCATTGCCCTGGGGAAAACGAATCATTTCTTCTCCAAAGTAGGGTTTGAACAGTGGGAGCAGATAAAGCATGAGACTATACAATAAAAAAAGGTATTGATTAGCAGTTAATTACACAAGAAATTAATGGTGCAGTGGTCCTATGGACAAAATGTAAGAAAAAATTGCTCTTTTTCTTGAGATAAAGTTTATTTAACCTGGAAGGGGAACCGTTTACTGACTATTTACATCTCATGCTGAGTCTAATGTCTAGCGCATCTAATAGTAAAACAAATATTTAGATTTGCAGAATATCTCTGAGCTTAAGGAAGCACAAAAGTGTGTTTCATAACATAATAAGTCCGAACTGGTTAAGCATCTATAATAAATTGTGATAAATGAGTGCTCTAAACTTTTTTCATGTCAAAAGCGTCCATCCATGAAATTGGTGGCACTGAGGTACAGAATGAAGTGGGAAAACTAAGACATTGTATGTAATGGAATAGAAAGTTTCAATATGCAGAATATCACCTAAGGGCACCTAAGATTTTTTTTTTTTTTTTAAGTATTTTTAAAAGAATGCTAATATTTTTCTATGGTTATGTTTTATACAAACTAGGATGAATGTGCAAATTACATCCGTGTCCTTCACCGATACAACAGAACACATCTTCTGGCTTGTGGAACAGGAGCTTTTGATCCGCTCTGTACTTTCATTAGAGCTGGACATCCATCAGAGGTAAGAAATTTGTTTTACAGTAGTGACTCTTTTGGTCTGGATTTCAAAAAAGTCTGTATGGTTAAAAATAAATATTTAAATTCAAGGGCTCAGAGCTCTCACACAAACCATACAAGAGATATTTTTCCCAGGTGAAATGTAATGCTGGTCTAAAATTCAGTTTGTGACTAGACGAACTTACTAATGAGTGACTAGAACCACATCACCAGAAACAATCTCCAAGGACCCAATCTATGCTGTGCACCTCCAACTGCTGCTAAAATCAGAAGCATCTCAGAAATTAAGACCCCAGCACAGCACTTAAATTTGAAGTTATTTGAATTGTAGAAGTACAGTGCCTTCTGAAACTGAGGAATGAACTAGATAATAAGCAATTTTAAAATGAGTCAGCTTTGCATGTCATCTTTGCTCCTCTCACGAAGCTCCTGTCAGGCTTCCTGGTACAGTTTAAAGGAAGTAATGTCTGTAAATTTAGGAACACTGTTTAAGAAAACATAAGCTTTCTTAATAAAAGGCCAATAAAAATAGAAACCAAACAAACAAAAAATGAGAAACAAGACTTCTATATAAGAATGTGTGGTCCATGATCCTTCCCTTATGTATCACTGTCCTTCCTTGCCTTCTTTTTGTTTATTATTGTCTCTTGTCAAACAGAAGTTCTGAAATTTTGCCCACACTGAAGTCATGGGAAAATTACCATTTCTCTGTTTGTGTAGAACAACAGGAAGTATATTCGCTACACTAATAAGTGGCTATATTAGTTTCCATTATCTGAAAAGCTGACAATCAGGATTAAAAAAGACAGGTGCCCATGTGTATGGTAGGTTAAAAATAACACGTGGTATGTGATTGAGTGGTCAAATTGCAATCTTGTTTTTCTTGACTGATAAGGACATCATGTAACTGCAGGAAATGAAGAGACAAGATCCTTCCTCAGAAAATTGCAGTTCAGTCTGTTTGCTGATCTCTTTGTTTGGTCAGAGTATCCCAATCCAATGACTTCTGATTACCGTCCCCCTATTTCTGCCACTTCAGCCCTCTTGCCTCTTTCTCACTATCTGACTGTCATGGAGAGTCAAAAGAGTAAAAAATGAAACAGTCTTAAAAATATAATGATACTATCCCATTTCTAAACAGGACCCAAACACCTTCATTAAAAACTAATAAAACTCAGACCTGAATTTGAAGGGTAAATGTTGGTGTATGCTATGCAGTTCTATACAGTCAAATGCAGCTCATAATATGCAGCTGGTTGAAGGGAAAATACCATAGATATTGTTGACTTCTTTTATTAAAATAGTGAACTTCAATATAAGTAAAATCTTTGTTCTGCAAACAAAGTTGCTTCTGAACAGAATCTCTTAAGAAGCACAAAGTGTATTTGAGGCTTATATGCATTTGAGCAATGACACTTTGTAGACATGTTGAGGTATAAAGCATGGGAGGTAAAAAGAAAGCCCTTACAGCAGACTTCTGTATATGTTGATACCTAGTTAACACAGCATATGAAGCTAGAGTCACTCTTCCTTTCATAACTATGAGTTATCGGTACCAACACAGAGGAAATCCTTGATCTGTGGTCAGGGACCTTAATCATAAGTTTCAGTAGTGCTTCCTGAGTTGATAGCGAAGGGGAGATGAAACCCTCTTAAATTAAAAACTGCATATAAATAAAAATTAGAGATATAGGCATTTAAGAACATGTTAGAATAGCAGGACTGTATTTTCTACAACCTTCTCTCTCACAATTTACTGAGAAGGTCACAGAGAAACAATCTTGTAGAACAAAATATCCAGTTGTGGCTCTTGTTTTTGGTGCTCACTAGTCCCATATTGCAGGAAAATTTATTTCATTGCTGTCTTGCAGTGAAAGTTTACATCAAGTCATCCATTTCTGAATAGCCATTTGAAGAAAACAAAGCATTATTGTTTCTCCTTTGAACAGTAAGAATATCCCAAAGCCAGGATCACAATCATGTTGTTTGGCATCCTGATCTAATATTTAGCATGTTTTTGTGAGGTGCAATCCAGCTTATGAATAGGAGCATTCTGCCCCCTGTATAAAGTCTCACATTCTTATGCAACTACATATTCATACTTTCTCATCAAAAAGAGGTTTGAGCTGTGTCTTGCAGAACATTAAGCTCAAGTCAACAAATAGTGAAGCCAAAAGGAGATTTTTATCTCCAAAAATAGGCAGAATTTGATTGCTTCAGTGGCAGATCATTGCTCCTCGGAACTTACTGAAAATCAGAACATCGAAGTTTCTCAAAAAACACAGTAAAATTGTCCATTCCCCTAACCAGTCTCTCTAGAAATAATTATCTAATTTACGATGTAGTAATTGAAATGTGCTTTGAAATCTTTCACAATCAAATTGTACCATGATACATTATATATGTTTAAATGCTCATTTCATGTTTTTCATTGTTTATAGAAATTCAATGGTACCTTGTATTTTGTCTTAATATAAATAATTTTATTTGAATATGTTGATCATATAAACCAACAAGCAATAAATGTTGGATGTATTGAATTTTACCTCAAACTTTTGTTGCACCACCGGTGTCCAACCAGAGATATTTCTCTAAATATTTTTTTTTTTTAAATTCGATGCATTATATATCCGTTTGAAAGATTAAATGTATAATGGTTTAATGCAGTCCTTCTATTTTAATGTTGATTTAACTGATGTTGCTTTGGAATTCCAGGCTGTTCATTTTAGTAAAGCTGTCGTCAGATATTACCTTTCTAAAAATATACAAGTATAGTCACTGACAGCAACATGCATCTTTTTATCCTTTTCTCTCTTTTCTAATTACTTTTACATTGATGAATGTTGCTTCCGCAAATTTAAACATTTCAGCAAATTACCCAGCATTTTTCTGCCATTTAGAAATAAATTGAAAATTGGAAAAAATAGGAGTGCTGACTTTGCAGACAGAACAGCTATTGGTGTTTACAAAAGAACATATTACAAAATCTTGTCCAAAAAAATATAAGCAAGTTAATTGCTAGCCAGTAAGTGAGTTCATTAGCACTGACTTCTTGAAATGCTTCCAAATGTCAAAAATCTATTTAGGTCAGAAAAGGCTGGTTTCCTCTAGTTTCTATATGTCTGTCATCCAGAAATGAAGGAGAGTCCATTTCATTAAAATCAATATTTTTTCTGTTTTCTGAAGAAAGCAAGAGTCAGAGACCCTCAACCCAACCATGTTTAATTGAATATGCATCCTTCCCATATGCTGTGAGAAAAAATATGAGATAAGTTATCAACCAAGTATAGGAGATGAAGAAAAGTGCAGAAAAAAATTTACTTTGTCTCCATTCTCACCAAATCAACATTCAGCACTCCATTGTCTTTCATGCCAAGAGGGGAAAAAAACAACCAAATTAAAAAACAACCAAACAAAAAAGAATCTGCATCCAGCCTCTTCCTTTTGCATTGACATAAATTCAGTTTTGGTAGTAGAAGATGAATACTGGACAAAGCCCTTTCTGTCTTGGTCTATGTTTCTTCTCATCTAGCTGCTAGTAGAACAGTACTCCACTACTGTTCTATATAGCTCGAAGTACCATAGGTGAATTATGACAAACTTAGATAAATCAGATAAGCTATCTGCAGTCAGGCAATGATTTTATTTTAATGAGTTACCTATTTAGCAGACCAACAGGTTTCAAGAGTGCTCCAGAGCCTTCCTATGATCCAAACTGCCTTAATTGCTAACACACAAAGCACCTTTAACAATTCCAGATGGGAGTTCCACCAAATATGGCTAAAGAGATTACTCTGCATCCATAGAACCTGCAAAATGAGTGGAAATTCCAAAAGAAAACAATATGCAGAAATAATATCCTAAGGTTTTGCACACTATATGGTGACCAGATAGACCTGATTTCTGCAGAGGAAAGTAGCTCTGCATGACAAAACCTGTTGAGGTAATTAAAGTTGTGGGAAAGCACAGTGCATGAAGAATTTTTCTTTCAGAACACGCTGTAAATTTTTAATATGTACACTGAGCTGGCAAAGTACTATTTTCAATGTCTCATCTAAGCCAATTAACTGCCTACAGCTGTATTTCTCCATCTCAGAAGGCTGATGGGCTAAGTCACCATTTCCACAAAAAGCACTGGTGGTTTCTGAGAGTCTCCCTTAGGTGCTCCTAATCTGATGCATTCCTTATGACACTATTTCCTCTTCAGTTAGCCAGATGAGATCCTGCTTATCATGGAACAGTGGAACAGCAGCCCTAAATTCTAAATCTTTAAGGCTTGTTAGAAAGGAATTGCTTTTAGTGAAGCATTATGTGTATTTGCTTGGAGGACAGTTCAGTCAAGTTGGAATTTCTTTTTTCTAGCCTTTGTTGTCCTTAATATTTCTTTGGATGTGGGAAGTAGCGCTTCTTTTTCTACATATTCTGTGATTCTAAGCAAAAAACAGGATAAGGTTCAGCTGTTGCATTCAAATAGCAATCCATAAGTGTTCTGTTTGTTTGTCTCCTCCAAAGGCAACATGATGTCCCCAGCTCTTGCTTTAAAAATTGACACTAATTGACACAGAAGTTAAGACAGAATGTTGCAGTCATATCTCAATTTAATTTTCATGTGACATATTTTTTTTTTATTTTCTTGACCAGCATTTAGTAATGTCATAATTCATTCTGCTTTGTTACGAAAAAAAATTGTATACATATTTATATCTATTATTTTAGGATATTGCTTCTGACGTATCTTTTTATAATCAAAACAAACAATGATTTACCCAATTACTCCCTCTCCATGTTTTTTCCTATTACCTCATCTCTGCTCTCAGTTTGCAGAGGATTAAGGAGGAGGAACATCTGGTTTCACTGACCAAAAGTGGGTGTTGGTCAATCCTTCATTAGATAGAATGTGTGACAAATTCTTGGCCTGAAAATATTCGCTCAGAGACAAATTGTCCCTCTGCATGGATAAAAAGCCCCCAGTTAGAATATCATCCATTAAATTGTAGGAGATTT